CCGGGGGGCCGGGGGGACAGTCCCCGGGGTGGTGTTGGGGTCCCCCTCCACCCGCCTGCCCCCGCCCGAGCGGAGCTGCGGCCGCTTTCCAGCTGAGCTGCGCCACATCCAGCCCTTCCCACCAGGCCTGGGCACGCCATGGAGGCCCTGGGGATGGGGGACACGCCTGTCCCCGCCTGCCCCCGCTTTGGGATGGAGAACGGAGGAGCCGCTTCCAGCTCCGGAGCTGCCGGCTGAGCCCCTGCCCGAGCCACGCGGGGACACCGGGATCCGGACACACAGAGGGACGGCAGAGCCGGGAGCTGCATCCGTCTCCATCCCCCACGGCAGCAGAGGGGCCTGGGTACCCCAGAGCCCCCCTGTCCCCATGGGAACGCGCTGCGGCCCCGCAGGAATGAGGCCAGCGCAGTGCGCCAGTAGGTACCGGGCAGGGGGACACGGCAGTGACGCGTCCCCTGGGCAGGCACATCCCGCTGCGATGGCGCTGGGATGGCGCTGGGATGGAGGCTGCAGAGCTCCAGCCCCCGCTGAGCTGATCCTCTCCATCCCCCGGGGCCGGGGGGCAAATCCGGGCAGGCTGCGTGGAAATAAACCCTTCCCTACCCAGCACAGCTGTGTCACTGCTCTGTCTTCTGTTCCCAGCACGTTCCCAGTCCCCAGCTTGGCAGGAGGGATGAGTCGGGGACACCCACTCGGCAGGAATTTGGTGGCATTGTCACTCAGGGTCCCCTAAGGGACACCAGGCAGGGAGGCTGAGCATGCCCCAGCCCTCCAGGAGCACAAAATCACAGAAGCTGAGTTTTTTGGGGACTGGAGCCTCAAAGTGTCCTCACCAAGAGGACACCAGCACTCCCCTTTCAAGGCCCAAGGTCACTTGAGCTCATATTCCCCACAAAAAAGCTGCCTGGGGACTCCCTGCGTGGAGAGCAGAGGGAATTTTACCACCCTGCAGGGTGAGAGCTCTGGGGTGAGGCTCCTAGCATGGACCTTTGGGTAATGGGGAGGGAAGAGCTGATGTGTCCCCCCACCCCTGGGGGGAACTGTCACACTCATACTCAATGCTGCCACACCGTTAGTTGACATATTTTATTTTACATATTTTAATGGGTGCATCGCTGACCTGAGGACAGAGCAGAATCTGCTCCAAAAGCAGACAGCCAAGTGTGCAGTCCCAGCAGCACTCAGAGAACAAGCAGCTTGTCCCTTTGTGGAGAGGAAGGACACTCGGTGAGGGCACCCAGGGTCTTGCTGGCTCCTTCTCCTTGTTAGCACCCTGGCCAGGGAGGAGCAGGGTGGTTCTGGCTGGCGCTGCTTGGACTTTTCTCACAAAGCTGAGCACAAAGACGTCCTTACAGAGCCACTCGGGCTCTCAGTCCCCTGTCCCTGCGCTCAGCTGGACGCCTCCATCTCGGTGACCTCCTCGAGGGGCTGGGTCTGCACCTCCACCTTCTTTGGGGGGATGTAGGAGCCCATCCCAGCGGCACGTTCAGCCTCCTCCTGCGTGTACGGAGCCTCGCGCAGCTGCTTCAGCCTGGGGGGCACAGAGGGGATGAAGCTTCCACCTGTTCTGGGCAGGACTGGCCCAGAACTGCCCCTGCCAGCCCCCTCAACCCGGGAAATTTGGGGGCTGTTCCCCCCACTCACCTCTTCTTGTGCACCTTGGATCTGAAGTGCTCCTTCATGCTGTTCAGGTCCACGAAGTAGCGCCTGGGGTAGGAAAGGATGGGGGTCAGGGGGACCCCGACACTGCAGGAGGGCTGGGGAGGGTCCCAGGGCAACCCTGCACGGGCCTGCGGTCACCCTGAGAGCAGGACAAGGGCTCAGGGACAAGATACTCCCACAGAGCCCCGAGCCCCCTCGCCAGGAGCCAGGGACCACCCCGGGACCAGGGCAACCCCCTCCCAGGGGACAGAGACCTCCAGGGACCCCCGGGACCAGGGCAAGGC